TCTCTCTCTCTCTCTCGTGAAATATATGCACATATCATTAATTATAGGTCGCGCTGTTTGTTATATTCAGCAGCATAATTGAAAGGAACTATTTGCGGCTCCGTTCACCAATTCAACTCGAATCGACGCGAAAATGAAATCTACGTGAGCACGTGGGAAAAGTTGATACCGGCAAACTGGTTTTCAATGAAGGAGAAAAGATAAGGCACTCGTTACAGGCATATAATTAGATCGGTAACTTCATCAATTAACCGTACGATCAAATGATGCGATCATCCGGATTCCTATAAAGACCGATTGAGTAGGCGGGAAAAAGATAGAGGGAGAGACAGAAAGGGAGAGCAAGAGAGAGAGAGAGAGAGAGAGAGAGTCGAAGATTTGTGTGTGCGCACTCAGTTATCAAAGTCAATATTACCACTACCTAAACGCGTTGATGAAATTATTTATGACATCGGGAACATTGTAATCTCGTTGCAAAAGTCTCCGCGTGAAAATTCAAGCAACTCGCGTTTTGGCAATATTGCTTTCAGGAAGCGTGAACCATAATTCAAGCGTCGAAATTCTCATCACTGCCGCGAACGACATGGCCGCGTCCAGTCCGAACCGACTTACGATTAACACGTACAACTGTAGTAAGAGAGCCACCGCCAAACGAGAGGCAACCGCGAGAGTTGATAAAAAGATTGTAGGTCGTAGGGTCGATGTGATTGAAGGCATCGCGTCTGATGGAGGATCGCGAAGGTGTGCGGCTCCTCGCGCAGGATTCCGCCGATACTCGGCTCCTTGACGTTCCTCCGGGGAGTTTCGGTCGCGCGACGAAGGGTGATAGTGGCGTAAGGTGCATATCGAAGGGAAGATGAGAATGGGCGAAGGGAAGGAAGCGAGTGAGCAAGGGTAAGCGAACAGATGAAGAGACGCAATGTAGGCAGCGAGGGAAGGAGGGAAAAGGATGCAGAGGGAGAGAGTGAGAGAAGAGAGAGCGGGGGAAGTGGGAGACGAGGGCGCACTCCCGGTCAGGAGCGTGGAAAAGGGCGATCGGGGAGGTTACAGGGTGGTGGTGGTGGTGGCGACGGTGATGGTGTGTGGGTGTGCGGTGGTACTGGTTCTTCCGAGGGACGAGAGGGATAGAGGGAGCAAGGGGAGTGGGTGACGAGAGGTCCAGAGGGATGGAGAGAGACGAACGATGGGAGATGGAGGGGTCCCCGGGAGATCGACCGAGAGAGGAAACGAATACGGTGGGAGGTGGGAAGGGAGAAGGAAGGATATCCAGACGCAAGGGAGACAGTGTAATCGAGGAGGAACAGCGTGAATGCGAGGGACGAGATGGTAGGATAGAAGGGAAGCGAAGGAAACGTGAAAACGAGACGGAACGACTTGAGAGAAGAATGAGAGACGGAGGAATCGAAGAGAAAGACTCGTTTGGAGGGGTAAGAGGGGACGTATGGAGAACGGAGGGAGAGAGAGAGAGAGAGAAAGAGAGAGATGGAGAAAGGGGGATGTGGTAAGGAGGGACACAGGTCGAGTATACTATGATGATACAGAGAGAGAGAGAGAGAGGATGAGAGAGAGGGAGGATGAGGGAGACGGAGAGAGGAAGACAGAGAGAGAAAGGCAGTAGGTAAAGGGGGTCAGGGGGTGTGGATGGAGGAGGGTGTGGGAGAGTAAGAGATAGAGCGATACGTATACATATATTCGCGGGGGCGCGAAACGGAGAGGGTGGGAGCACGAGTGAGTGAGCGAGCGCGAACGCGAGGCGAGACGGGAGGGAGGAATAGAGCAAACCAGAGTCGACTCGGATATGAGGGTGTCGCGCAAGCCGGTCACGCCGAGGTTTCCATGGCAACGACAGGCGATAAATCAACCCGCAACATCCCCGAGTACCGTCAGATAAAACCGCATACACATATGTGTATACACGTACACATACGCGCGTTCGAGCGCGGATACCGACTGGTAACTCCGCGCCCAAAAAGTTTTCCCTTCGGCCGATTTATGCCGTCGCTGCCTGCAGCGGCGAGAGCGCTTTGC